GAACTCAGCTAGGGGCTGTTTCCTTCGGGTCTCCTTGAGGAGGCCCCTGGGTGTGACTATAGCGCCCCCTGCTGGCCAATCTCCAGGATCCCCAGCCTCACCCTGCACCAGCCAAAGGTGGATTTCTCCACAGCCTGTTGCTGTGGAGAAGTGGAATGTGCGCACACTTTGGAAAGGCCAAAGACACTAAGTTAAAAAAGAAAAAAATCCTGCCACCTCCCAGAAAGATTCTCCTCCTGACACAGAGTGTTCAAATCCTGCTGTGTGTCTGTAGGCAAGTGTGTTTGCTTCATTGGGTCTCACTTTCTTCATCTGTAAAATGGGGATGAAAATTTGTTCTTGTATCTGCATGATTTTGGCAGAATAATAGGAAATCTTGACTAACTAATTTAAATGAGAAAGAAAATGTATTCTGTCAGACAATCATAAGAAGGCCTAAGGTAGGGTGGCCGCAGGGTTGGTTGATTCAGCAGCACAATGGTATCATCAAGGACCCATATCCTTTTCATCTTTGTGTTCCACCAAGCCCCTTCATGGTCACAAAATGGCTGCTGCAGTTCCAGGCATCACATCCAGACCTGACAGTGCCCAGCAAAGGAGAAGACAGTGTCTTCCTATATTTCTCTTATTTTCCCAGAATTCCCCCTCCTTCAGCAGACTTCCCCTTTTGTCTCTGGGGTCAGAACTGGTTCCCATGGCTATTCCTGTATCAACACCTAGTAAGGGAAATAGAGTCACAGTGGTTGGCTCAGGGAAGCCCATGGATGTAGAGCAGAGTGGAGAACTCTGAACAAAATGAGGTGATGTGAATAAGGAAGAGAGTTGCTTCTGGAGAGGCATCAATACCAGTCCATAATGAATGCCGACCACTGAGCCCAGCGCCTAGCACGTGGTAGGTGCCTTATCTGTGTTCCCCTGTTTCCTCCTTTTGTTGATTTCCTCCAAGAACAAAAGACTCCTGGCCTGGCCTCTCCTGACCCAGCCTCCAGCCCTCCATCCCTGGGCTTGGGTCTCTCTCCACTGCCCAATGTCCCCTCCATCCCGTCCTCTGCTGTCACCACCACCACCACCTTTTGTTTCTATCTCAAAAGCTTGGGATGGGGCCAGCCCCGTGGCTTAGCGGTTAAGTGCGTGCGCTCCACTGCTGGCGGCCTGGGTCCGGATCCCGGGCGCGCACCGACACACCGCTTCTCCGGCCATGCTGAGGCCGCGTCCCACATACAGCAACTAGAAGGATGTGCAGCTATGACATACAACTATCTACTGGGGCTTTGGGGGGGAAAAAAATAAATAAATAAAATCTTTAAAAAAAAAAAAAGCTTGGGATGGACAACGATCTCCCCATTGTCCCCAGTGACTGTGGATTCCTATAAAATAAAAGATCGGAGATGCTTGATTCTCATCCAAATGCTTTCACCAGGGAGCGAGAAATTAATAACAGTATGAACAGAGGCCTGGAGTATTTAATGGCCCATCCAACCAACTAAAGTGTGAGCATACCCAGGTTTCTGGGTGAGGTGCGGAGACTGACTGCCGACCCCACATCGCTACATTCAGAAATGTCACAAGCGTGCTTGGGGGGGAGATGAACAGTGTGGTTGAAAACAGCTTCTGATTAAAAAAAAAATCCCCAGCATTCATCTAAAACAATAATAACAGCTAATAATAACAGGGCATGTAATAATGAACTATTCATAGGCACAAGAGGTAATTGTTCAATTAAGATCCGTGAGTTCCTGAGACTGTCTTTTCTGATGGGGTCCCATTGTTTTTGACTCCAGTAGCACTAATTATTTCCCAGTAGTGCTTTAAACTTGGGATGAAAAAAGCCCTCCCGTCAAATATGACATACAAGTGCTTTGTCATTATTAAATACACAGACACGCGCATAATAAGAAATCCTTGTCGGAATAAAGTTAGGGTATGTTCGAAGGGAGGGGGTCCTACATGGGAGCTGACAGTCTCGGGGGCTCAGCAAAAGGGGCAGGCGACAGCCAGGGTCTTCATTATGCAAGCGACCTAGCCTCGTCACCTCTCACCCATCAGGGGTCAGAATGGCTTCTCAGGGCAGAAACCTGGGTTCAAATCCCACCTCCACCACTTCCCAGCCAGCTGCCCTGGGCACAAGTCTCCACCTCTCTGACCCTCAGTCTCCTCATCTATAACATGGAGTACAGTGGACATCCCATTTTTGTGGCCTGCCTGGGTTCTAGTTACTCTTTCATCTAGCGCCTGTATCGGTCATTAAGTTGATGCCTGCACTTTAAAAACCACAAAGCTCAGGGGCGTATAAAAACATTTGTCATGCATCTGGGGGTTCCTCTGATCTCGGCTGGGCGTGCCTGGGGCAACATGGCTCTGCTCCACATGTCTCTCATCCTCCTCCTGGGGCTAGCCCTGGCGTGTCTGCTAACATCCTATTGGTTAAAACCCGTGGTCAAGCCAGGGGTGCGAAATTATCCTTTACCCACAGTGGGAGAACACCATAAAGTTACACCGCAAAGGCATAGATAAAGGGAAGAGTGGGGAGTCGGGGCCACTGGGGCAGTCTAGCACAGGTATCAACATCCCAACTTTTCTCAGGACCTGCCCCTCCCCATGCTCGGTCCCTGTGGTCTCTGGGAAGCTAGCGCCACCCCTGGCTCTAGCTCTGGCTTCTAGAGGTTCTGAACCTCAGGCTTTTCTCTCTCAAAGAGAGATATTATCGAATACTGAGAAGGTATTAAAAACACAGATCCTTTAATGAATCACAGAGGCTGTGAGTTAACCAGCCTTAGTGCCCTCCCTCACTTGGGACTTCCTGCTATCTGAAACAATAAATATTCCTCTCTCTTTAAGCCAGTGTAAGTGTTCACTTAGTAGCTGCCCAAAACACATAACTGTATGAACCCTACAAACAATCCTCTCTTCTTTGAAAAGCCCAGGGAATCACGTGATCTTTACAAAGGCTGTGCCCCATTTCACAGATGAGGACACTGAGGCTCAGAGTTTGTGATCTACCCAGTTACCCAGAAGGCTTGGCTCAGCCAGGGAGGGCATCCCACCCCTCCCATGGGATTGGCTCAGGCATGACACGTGACCCAAGTCCATCCAAGCAGAATGGCTCTTGGAACCCCATTGACAATGCTAGATGAGGACTCTGTGTGTGGGTTGGATGGGAATGAGGATGTAGCCCTGGGAAAAGCTGGGGCCATCCGTGGACCGCAAGGAGAGCCCATCAGCCCCCGGGGACGCAACGTAGAGGGAGGAGAGAACGGGACCTTGGGAAGGTTGGAGATTCCAGCCACCCTTGACGGTAGTACAATTAGTTCTCCCTCGTTCTCAGAGAGCTGGAAAGACTCACCTCCTTCCTGTCCTTGATTCTCATCCTTCCGACAGATGGGGACGTGGAGAACCAGAGAAGTAAAGTGAGTCCACCAAAGTTCCCAAAATAACCCATTGCCACAGTTTGGCAGAGGGTGCAAACTGGGTCCGCAGACCCCACGCCCGGTGCGTTTCTCACTGCAGCTGCTTTGGCCAGGTCCGCAGAGCCCCATGCTTTTCTCAACCGAAGCTTCAGAGGGGACCTAAGACTCCAGCCCGGGCCAGGACCGGGCGACTGGGGAGGTCAGAGGGACGCCCAGCTAGCTGCAGGTTCCTCAGCTCCAGGGCCGAGCGGCAGGAGGGGGTGCTGTGGGGCTCCCTCCTCATGCCAGGAGGCTTGGAGCTGCCCCGGGGCTTGATGGGCAGTGGGGGGTGGACCTGGGTGAATGGCTGCCCTCGGAAGGGAAGCGGGTGGGCCTTCCGCTCCAGCTCACGGTTCACAGCCCCGCCGGCACGTGGGCCCCCTCCCCACCCCGGGCTCCACAGGCACGATCACCGTTCCAGTCACCACACCGTCCTCTCGAAGGCCACCCTCATCTTCACCATCAGCCCACTGCTGAGGCTTGATGGCTCAGCCATCTCCAGAGCTGTCATCTCCACCCCTGCTCTGCCCCTACCCAGCAGCCTGCCTACCCCCGGCACATCGTTACCCCCCACCAGCATCACTATCCCCCCCCTTCCCTTCATCTCTACCTTCCCCATCGCCACTCCACTCACACCCGCCCCCTCAGGCTGCCACCACCACCACCCCCAGTCCAGCCCCCCACTCACCACCCTAAACACCCCCTTGGTCATTAGTACTGCCCTCATCCCCCCACAACGGCCATTTCTTAGCTCTCCTGTCTCCCTGCTGTCCCCCCGAGCCTGTTACCACTCCCAGCACCATCGTGCCCACCGTCTCCACCATCAATGGATGAACATTTATTGAGCACCGACAAATCTCAGACCGTCTACAAAACACACAGAAGGCGTGCCCCCCCCAGGGCCCCGGCCCCCCGCAGAGCCCCACGCTGTGGCACCCTGCGGAGGCGGGGGCTCAGGGCTTGGCCGGCAGCGCACCTGGAACGGGGCCCCGAGGCCTCCGCCAGGTTCCCGTCGGGGGTGGGGTCACGCCGCTTTCCTGAGAGCAGGGCAAATAAATAATGGAGAGGCGGGTCTGGGCCCCGCGGCGCAGAGCCCTGGCGTTGGCTTAGCGACTCCATGGGAGTGAGACAGGCGGCCGGGAGCCCGGTGCCGGCGGGGAGGCGGAGCTGGGGGCGGCAGCCTGGGGACCAGAGGGTCCTGGGGCCTCCCGGGCATCTCCGCCCCGCCCTCACCTCTGGGCGTCAGAGGAGCGTGTTGGGGACAGCCCGGGGGCGCCGCTGAAACCGGCGGGTGGGGCCCCGCAGGCCCCGTGGCCTAGCGGTTAAGTGCGCGCGCTCCGCTGCCGGAGACCCAGGTTCAGATCCCAGGCGCGCACCGACGCACCGCTTGTCAGGCCATGCTGTGGTGGCGTCCCATATAAAGTGGAGGAAGATCGGCACAGATGTTAGCCCAGGGCCAGTCTTCCTCAGCCAAAAAAAAAGAGGAGGATTGGCATGGATGTTAGCTCAGGGCTGATCTCCCTCACAAAAAAACTTAAAAAGAAAAAAAGAAACGGGCGGGTGGAGGGGGTGTGGCTGGGCTGCAGGCCGGAGACCCTGACTCTGCATGCAGCCCCTAGAGGGGGGCGTCATCGGTCCTCCACTTGGGGGGGTAACTCCGCTGGTGGCCGTCGCAGCTGGGGTTCCCCACGTTGTCCAGGGGCACCACCACCTCGTCCGGGCTCGAGTTCTTGTTCAGTTCCACCACACGGGGCACCACCGAGGACCAGCGATCTGCAGCGAGCACGTGGGGGGGATGAGGGTTAATGGAGAAGGTACATGCATATATTGAGCACCTACTGTGGACCAGGCACTCCACAGGGATCTAAAGGAGGACATATTATTATCCCCATTTTACAGAGCTGGAAACTGGGGCTCAGAGAGGTCAAGGTGTCCACCCAGGAGCCCACAGTAAATGGAAGAGTCAGAATTGGAGCCCGAGTTGGAATGCCTGAGCGCCCATGTATCCCCTCCACTGTGTCTCACACTCTCAGGGGAGCCAGAGTGGGGTGCCCCAGCATTCATGAACAGCAGAGGAAACTCAGCAGGCAGCCCAGCCTCCCATTCCACAGATTTGAACACTGAGTCCCAGAAAGGGGACAGGACTGCTCAAAGCAAATTAGTGATGAGGATAGACCAGGGCCCCCCCCTTGGTGCCCCTGAGTCTTCCCCCTCTACCCCCCCACTCCACTCACCCCTCCGGAGGCGGCCCACGGTGTGCGAGAAGCCGTAATACTGGTAGTTCTCATTCTTGCCCGGGTCCTCGTTAATGATGCCCAAGTTCTGGTTCCAGTGAGACCAGTTCACCTCGTCCACCCTGGCGGTGCCACAGCAGAGAGAGGGTCAGGGGAGCCCCCACTGAGACGGCACCCTTCCCCACCCCCAGGCGGCCTCCCTGCTCCAGCCTCCCAGCACATCCTCCTTTTTGTTCTTAATTCTGGAAAATATATATAATATAAAATTTTACATTTTCTATTATACAGTCTATTACAATTATAAAATTGCTATTTTAACCATTTTTAAGTGCACAATTCAACAGCATTAAATATATTCCCAAGATTGTGCAACCATCACCACTATCTATTTCCAACACTTCTTCATCACTCCAAACAGAAATTCTGTACCCATTAAGCAATAACTCCCAATGCCCCCTCCCACCAGCCCCTGGTAGCCTCTGTTCTACTTTCTGTCCTTGTGAATTTACCTTTTCTGGACATTTCATATAAATGGAATCATACAATACGTGGCCTTTTGTGTCTGGCTGCTTTCACTCAGCACAATGTTTTCAAGGTTCATCCATGTTGTAGCAGGTATCAGTGCTTCATTCCTTTTCATGGCTGAATAATATTCCATTGTATGGATCTACCACATTTTGCTTATACATTCCTCTGCGATGGACACCCTCCTTCGTTTTTTTTTTTTGTTTTTTGTTTTTGGTGAGGAAGATTGGCCCTGAGCTAACATCTGTGCCAATCTTCCTCTATTTTGTATGTGGGATGCTGCCACAGCGTGGCTGCTGATGAGTGGTGTGGGTCTGCGCCCAGGGTCCAAACCCACAAACCCTGGGCCGCCAAAGCGGAGTACACAAACTTAACCACTACCAGACACCAGGCCAGGCCCCGGACACACTCCTTCTTGATACTCTCACTTCTTATTATCCAGACACCTTCATAAAGTCAGGTTACAGCCTCTTGGGCTCAAATTGGCTCAATATAATTTTTCCCTTTTAAAATTATTTTTTTGAGGCCAGCCCGGTGATGTAGCAGTTAAGTTTGCATGTTCCACTTCGGCGCCCTGGGGTTTACCGGTTCGGATCCTGGGCGCGGACCTACGCGCCGCTCATCAAGCCACACTGAGGTGGCGTCCCACACAGAAGAGCTACAACTCTACAACTATGATACACAACTACGTACTGGGGCTTTGGGGAGAAAAAAGAAAAAATAAAAGAGGAAGATTGGCAACAGATGTTAGCACAGGGCCACTCTTCCTCAAAAAAAAAAAAAAAAGACAGCAGCTTTCCTGCTCCAGTGATTTAAAATTATTTGTTGTTATTTTCATTCAACCTCCACTTTTTGAGCAATGGCTACGTGTCAGGACCCAGCAAGGAAGATACATTCACTGTTCCCACTTTACAGATGAGGAAACCGAGGCTTGTTAAACTGCTCGTCCAAGGTCCCAAAGCTGATAAATTACAGAGCCAGGATTTGAACTTTGGATTCAAATTGAGCAGGACTGAGCCGCCGGCCCATGCGATGGGTGCTATTATGGTCCACACTTCACAGACCGGGAAGCGGACTTTGCTGCCTCCGGGCATGACACTTGTGCTCCATGCTGGCAACCACTCTACAAAGAATGAGCCACCTTAAAAGACTCGCCCAGGGGTTCCCCCACGCAGCTGGCATTCCCCGTGCATCTGGGAACGTCCTGAAAGCCTCTGATTCCTCGGTTTTCCCTTTCAGCTGAAGCCCCGAAGCCCACCCCATTGTTTCAATAGAGGTAATGCCCTCTGATGAGCACCCCCTCCAAGGCTCTGCTTCCCCGACCAAGGGACAGAGGAGTAATGCCCAGTGTGCTGACCCGCCTCATCCACACAGCTGCCCAGGGGGTGGTGCCGTCATTGACCCATTTCATAGATGAAGAAACCAAGGCTGAGAAGTGAACCAACTTGCCCAAGATCACCCAGGAGAACTGAACTCCGATCAGGTCCACGGAGGCCTCGGTGGCTCGGGAAGTTGCAATGGGCAGAAAAAGTAAGAAGTCCCGATCCGCCCAGGCTGGTTCCACCCCTCACCTGAAGCACCACCTGCGATCCGGCGTGCCGTCTGAGCTCTTGCCCACAGTCACCATTTCGCCGGAGCGGAAGGCCTTCCTCAGGAAGACTGGGAAGGAGCGCTCGATGTCCAGGATGGTGGTGGCCCACTGCGGGGAGGCGGGGGGGGCAGGCCATGAGTGAGGGGTCCCCAGCCAGCACCTACTGCCCTAACAGCAGAAACAGCGCGACGGGCCAGGGTGGTTAGAGAACTAGGCTTTCCAGCTCCCATCGCCCCTGGAAACAGGCTTGTAAACTCACACACCCACAGGGGCCTGGCAGGAGAACAAACGAGTGAAGCAGAGTCAGATGCAGGAAGGCCGCAGCCCAGGCCCCCGATACATGCCCAGCAGTCCCCACTCGGTGCTGGGAGTCACCAGGGAGGGGTGGGAACTGGGGCAAACCTGGGAGCACCTGCCCTCTCATCCACCCGAGCGCTGCCAGGCAGGAATGTGGGCCCGTCTTGCCAGGCTTCCAACTTTTCAAGAAAGACCATAAATGTGGAATTTTACAAGAAATCTCTTAATTTTAAAATTTTGCATTAAATGTTTTAAAAATATGGTAAAGCAGAAAAAATAAATCTGCTGGTCAAATCCAGTCCACGGGCTGCCAGTTTGCCTCTTATGAGTTACGCCCAATGGGGAAACTGAGGCCCAGGGAAGTAAGCGGTGTGGATCAAGGTTAAGAGCAGGTCCAGATGTTTCCCTGAGACCCAGACCTGGGAGGACGACCTTGGGGTTTTTTCTCAGCGCACCATTCCCCTGAAACGTGGGTGCTGCGTTCCTGCGCCTTGTGACGGCACTGCTTATCGTGAACCATCAGGCTCGAGACCTGCACGTGGCCCAGGTGGGTGGTGAGCCCCAGGGCCTCTGCTTCCTGGGATTGCACAGAAACCTTTAGGAAGCAAAGGCAGCAGCCCCCCTGTGCCCCCAGGCCCACGTCCACATGGGCTTCTCCTCTACGACCGAGCACGCTCAGGAAGCTACGCCTGGGCTGGTGAGAGCCCATCTGATGGGAATGCTGGGGTCGCCTGCACCCACACCAGCCTCGTCTCTGGGCCACGGTGGGGCAATGCTGACCCTCTCTGAGCATTTCCTGTGCCAACAGAGCCCACTCGGTGGGGCCGGGTGAAGCCGACTGTGTCCCGTGAGCCGGCCCACAGGTGAATCAGACCGCTGCTGGCGGTCAGGCAAGAAGCCACCTGGAAACGCACCAGGCAGCTCTGGGAAGTAGGCAGCAGCCTTCGATGCCCGTTTTACAGACAGGGAGGTGGAGGCAGAAAGAGCTGCAGTGGCTCGCACAGAGCGGAAGGCCGAGGGGGGCGGTGGGCCGGGTCTCCGCATCTTGGAAGGAGAAGGGCGGCCAGCGGGGTGGGGATGGGGGTCCCGGGCCGCACCTGCAGCTTCCAGATGTGCTTGCTCTCCTTGGAGACCTGGCCCACCGTCTCCCCCATGAGGGCGATGAGCATGTTGAGGAGCAGCACAAAGGTGAGGATGATGTAGGTGACGAGCAGGATGATGAAGACCACGGGGTACTTGGTGCTGCTCAGCATCTCCAGGTCGCCCATGCCGATGGTCAGCTTGAAGAGGTCCAGGAGGAAGGTGCTGAAGGTGTCGCTGTCGCGGCACGAGGGGTAGGTGGGCACCGTGCAGTTGGTGTGGTCCTCGCTGCACACCTTCATGTTGGCGCAAGGGTTCAGGAGGGAGACCAGGGCTGTGGGAGGTGACAGTTGCTGAGTGCTGGGCCCAGGCTGGGAGGTGGGGAGCATCATTCCCATTTGATGGAGGGGAAAGCCGAGGCTTGGCGAGGGGAGAGCAGCAGCCCACGGTTACCCAGCAGGTAAGCCAAGCCTGAGGTCGAACCCGGGTCCTGCTGAATCCAAAGCCTTTGCTCTGTCCACAGACTTGCTAACAGGAAGAGGTCCCCAGGATCTAGTCCAGCGGTCCTCAACCTGGCCAACTTTCCCCCCATGGGACATTTGCCAACGTCTAGACATCTTTGGTTGTCACAACTGGAGGGGGTTGCTGCTGACACCTCGGGGGTGGAGGCCAGGGATGCTGCTTAACATCCCGCCACGTACAGGACAGCCCCCACCACAAAGAATTCTTTGGCCCCAAATATCAATTGCGCCAAAGCTGGGAAACCCTAACCCAGCCCATCATTCTTAGAGGTCGTGGGAACCTGGGACCCAGCGTTCCTGGGGCAGACTCTCTCTCATGCTCCTGTTTCCCTGCCCACAGCAGCTCAGAGAGGAAGGGTGGAAGCTGGAACCAGGTACCAGTCCTGACTGTCCTAGAAGCTGTGCTCGCTACGCCCTCGCCCCCTCCAGATATCTCAAACTGATCATGGCGCTCATCCCTTCCCGCTAAGCCCAGATGAAGCTTCAGAGTCCTTCTCAACACAGTTTAGCAGCAACAACCTGCCTCTGAACCAGCCAGGGCGGGGAGCATGAGGAGGCTGAGCCCCTTCAATAGTGGGGCATAGAAATGTCATAGTGCCTTCAACCCGAGATTACAGTGAGCAGGTTTCAACTCATATGCCAATGCTATTCAGTCGTGTACTGGCTGCTGGAACATGTGCTGAGAAGGATTCTGAGACCTTGTCTGGAATCATCAGAAAAATTGTTCTGCAATCCATTAGCAATGTCTGCTATGGGCACAAAAGTGGGGAACAGCAGCATGTGTGTCATGTTTGTGTTATGTCAGCCCCAGACGGGGGACCTTGTGGCCCCCAGCAAGAGAAGCCCTGGGACCAAGCTGACCACTGAGTTGCTACTTTAACCCCTAAGCTTCTGCCTCAGTTTCTATAATTAGGACTGCAGTAGGGCTGGACCCCTGACCTGAATCCCAAACCACTGTGGAGCCCTTGACACTGTCCAGTTCTTCCCAGTCCTCTCCCTGTACCCTGTCCCTCTCTCCCCAGCCATGTCTATGGTTTCACTTCCCCAAAATAACCCATGCAGAGACTCAGCACCATCTGGGTTAAAACAGCACCACCATCAGACGTCTGTGTCCATGCTGGTCCCCAGACAGACCTCCACAGACTTGGATGTGGCCTGGGGAAGCCCGAGTTAGCCACTCCCTTTTGGACGCTGGGCACTGGATGGCAGATCACCCATCCCTTGGGGACCAGCCCAGTGGCTTGGTCAGTGTCCTCATCCCTGGTCCTTCCCCCATGACCTGTGCCACTGACATCCATGGCCTCACGACACCATGGAGAAAGCCTACTGGAGGGAGCCAGTCCTGAGCTTTAAAAAAGAGCTGGGCTGGTAGAGTCATTACTAAAATTCACCCTTCCCTGTATCCATGCCCCCCAACGTGGCCTTGCGGCGCCCTCCATCAAAGGGCAGCGTCTATTTCCCCACCCTTTGAATTAGGCTGGCCTGGAAACTGGCTCTGGCCAATAGAGTGAGGCAGGAGTGATGCTGTGTCAGGCCGCAACCTTGAACACTTCCGCTCGCATCCTGGGAACCCTCAGGCCTCCATGTGAACAAGCCCACGTGTGCCGACTGGAGGGTGAGTGACGAGGGGTAAGAGGGCAAAATCACCCCACCGAGGCCATCCTAGCTAGACTAGCCAGCCGGCAGCTGCCCCCAGACACAGGAGCCCAGCAAGATTAGCCAATCTGGCCGGGTCAGCACAACTACCCGGCTGACCCGTAGGCCTTGAGCAATAACAAATGGTGGTGGTTTTAAGCCACTAAGTTTGGGTGGCTACTTCTGCACCAATAGCTAATATGCCAGTTGTACCATTTCCTAGCTTTTGAACTTGGGTACGTTATTTAACCTTTCTAAATCTCGGTTTCCTTATCTGTAAAAGGGATCATAAAGGCACTTACCGTACAGATTGTTGGGAGGATTAAATGAGACGGGGATGGGAAAGGACTCAGCCCCGAGCCTGGCTCACAGTGACAACTCAACAAACGCTGGTCATTTTCCTCCACACACCAGGGCTGCTGGTCCAGTCCTTGCACCGCCCCCGCCAGCACCCCACCTGCCCCCCTCTCCCGGGCACCCCGAACTCACCTGAAGCATAGCCGATCATGAAGAGCAAGTAGACCAGCAGGAAGCGGAAAAGATCTTTGAAGAGGATCTAAAGACCCCAGCGGGATTATGGAGGCAAAGTTGACACAGGGTTTTTGCTTTCCCAACTCCTCCATCCCCAATCTTTCCAGCTCCACCCTGTCCCTCCCTGATGTCCAGGCCCTGCTGCGACCCCCACAGTGGCCCCCGTCCTCAGGTCCGAGGGCACCGTCTGCACACGTAAGATGTGCGTGTGGGGTGTGTGGCTCCCCGCAAGGACACAGTCCAGAGGGTCCCCTGCCCCATACCTTCTGGATCATGATGCTATAGGTCCCCGTCAGCTTCAGCCCGCGGGTAAAGTAAAGGGCGTTCATCCAGCCCAGGACCAAGGCAAAGACCATGACGGCCAGGTAGGCCTCAATCCCTGCCAGGTAGAGGGCTGCCGAGACGATCACCAGCACAGAGTAGATGAAGCTACAGGGCAGCAGAGACAGGAGAGGGGGCAGAGGGGACGATGAGGCCCTGGAGGGGGAGACATGCCCCCAAGCCCTCCAGGGTTCCAGGACATCCCAGTGCCTTCTAGACCCCCAGAAGGGAAACAAAGTGGATTCACTGGGTCCCCAGCATTCCGTTAACCAAAACTCTCAATTAATTGGCAATTACTGTGTGTGTCATGGCCCTGAGGCCCTACAAGATCCCAAAGTGATGCCCTTTGGAATTGCTGGAGAAAGATTCAGTGGTGTTCGGTGGAGATTTTGTGGCTAAGTGAATTTCATTGTTCTCCAACTCTAAGGGAAAGGAAAAAGATGTAGCACCCGTGCAGTAACTCATCCTGTGCCCTAGGCAGACATCATTAATCAAGCACAGCACTCTTCCCCACTAAACACAGCCACAGCCTCAAGATTCTTCTCACCAGGGCACTCCAGGCAGACATTAGCAATCAATCACCAGCAGAAGCAGTTAAATTATTTCTATCTATGGTGTGTATGGTAACTTTCTAGCAACCAGAATCTTGCTTTAGCCAGAAGACTCTATTGTTTGACATTGGCCTTGTCCTGACTTCGGGCTATAGCTGTCCGGGGCTGGGTGAGTTCACTCCTCATAGAGTCATCCCCCCGCCCCCTAATCTGGAGGATGTCCCAATGCAACCCCACCTTCCTCACCCAGACGCTGCCAGCCCAGGGACCTGTACTCACTAGAGTAGCTGGAAGGAGCCATCGATGAAGAGAGAATTCACTCCAGGGCATTTCTTCATGAACAAGTCTTTGATCTGGAAGCGGGGAGGAGGCACGTGAGGGGGTGCACCAGGGGCGCAGAGGGGGAAAGAGGAAGGGAGAGAAGAGAGGGAGGCAGAGCGGTACAGAGAAAAGAGGATGGACTCTTTTGTTGGGAGAGGAGGAAAAACAGAGACGGAGCTGAAGGAGGCGGAGGAAGGACGTGGAAGGGGGGACGTAAAAGGAGGAAGGAGAGGAGAAGGAAGAGAGGAGGAGAGGGGAGCTAAAGGAGGTGGAGGGAGAGGAGGAGGAGGCCGGGCAGGGTGGTGGGGTTGGGGACCGAGCACTCACGTTGGTGAAAAAGAACAGGACCCCGGTGAAGAGCGTGATGATCTCGCCGGCCAGCCTCAGGTAGTCCACCGTGGTGCGGTAAGGGTATGGCGGCTGGGGCAGGGGGCACACAGGTCCTCACCCAGCCCCTCCGACATCTGGCCCCAGATCCAGATGTTCCCCACACCCCAAACATCTAGACCCTGTGGAGCCTCCTCCCCCACGCTCGTCCCCCTGGGTGTTGGGGGGCACCTCCCGGTCCTGTTCCTAAGCTTCTCCAGTCCCTCGCACAGGAGGCCCAGAAGGACCCGGCTGTGCCCCAGTTCCTGCCCGGCTCCGGCCACTCACAGTGCCCTCCAGCGGCTGGTAGTAGGCAGTGAGCGTAAAGATGACCATGGCGCACAGGTAGGAGACCACATTGATGTAGAAGGAGACGGCCCCGAACTTGCGCCACTTGTCTCGCAGGAGTTCATTGATGGGTTCCACGGCTAGCATCTCGTGGCGGTTCTGTGGGAGGCAGGGTGGTCGGGGGCCACCTTCCCAATGTGCGGCATCCGGGCAGGCTGACTCCAGTATGCCTTCCCTCTCCCTCTGCCCCTAGAGAGCTTTCTCCTCCTAACCCAGTCCTCAGTGACACACAAGGATTCACAGGGAACTGGACGGGGATTCAGAATCAGCCCCAAACTCTGGGTCAGCATTTGAGTCTGCCCGATTCTGCCCCAACTTACCTTTCCAGCCTATTCTAGAGTGGGAGACTCCTTAAAGAACATCTATTCTCATGGTCCCCAAACTCCAATCTGTGGATGGTACCGAGCTGCTGGCAGCAAAATCACCCATGCAGCTTGCTAAAAATATAAATCCCTGCGCTCCAGCCTCAGAAATTCTGACTCAGGAAGTAGGATTGGGAAATTTAGCCCAAGGATCAAAAACACTTGACTCAGCACAATTTACCAATTCTGAACCCAGGGCAGACATCAGTAATGGAGCCCTGCACAATAGTTCTCTACACAATTCCCTAGGCAGACACTACCAATCAATCAGAGTCTGCACCAGAAATGTGAAACCTCCAGCCACCCCTAATCTAAATCAAAGCAGTCACTAATTTCAAAGATTAGGGAAGTGAGCTCCAGCAAGGGAAGGCATCTGTCCAGGCTCACAGAGCTGGGCTGGAAGGGAGACCGTCTGCAGCCAGGCCCCAGCATTTTCTGCCCCATTTGTATAGCATCCTGTCCCTTTAATGACTTGAGTTTCTTTATAATCGTGGATTTGTGCAATAATGTAGCCAGAAAGATGCTATTGCAGTGTTATTCCTGACAGTTAAATGCAGACACAAACCCAAATGACCAAGAATAGAGGAACAGTTAATTAGAATGTGGCACATTTACATGCAGCAATGATATTGCAGGAGAATATTCAATGGTGTAGAACCATGTTCGCAAAAACTGCTAAGTGAAGAAAAGAGCTTTCAAAACTTCATATAACAACTACTAACGATAATAGCTGACACGTAATGTTTACTCTGTGCCAGGCTGTTCTAAAATGAACTCATTTGCTCTTCCCAACAACCCTATGGAACATGCTCTATCCTTACCCCCATGTCACAAAAGATGGAGGGGAGACTCAGAGACGTTGGGTGACTTGTCCTGAGTCACACAGCAGGTAAGTTACAGAGCCAGGATCCCGACCCAGTCCTGCCTGCCCCTGAAGCCCGACCCTTACAGTCCCCCAATTTCCCCCAGTGCCAGACGCCGTTCTGGGCGCTTAATACACACTCTCTTTTGCACTTAGCCCACAGATCCACCGCTTTGGGCCCCAGAGGCCTGGGCTCCCCCTCCTAGACCCAGGGCCCCTCCCTGCTCTCAGCTGCACCCCCGCTTCCCTGGGTCCCCTCCCTGCCCTGGCACCCACCTCGATCTTGCTGTTGTACACCAGGATCTCCAGCACGGAGGCCTCTTCCCCGCACGTGTCCAGGGAGGAGAGGTCGTACAGCGAGGAGTACACCGGCCCGTAGGCCCAGTCCTTGAACTTGCGGGACAGGTGCCTCGTGTCCTCATCTGTCACCTCCCGACGGATGATGTGCTGGAAGATCTGCACGGGAGGAGGGGCCGTCAGGGGCTCCCGGGGGGAGGCCCACTGCTCGGCCCCTCTCATCGGAGGGGCCCGGAGCAGGGTGCAACCCCGCAAATGGTGCCTCCCGGGAGAGCGGGATGGAGAGGAGGGAAATATTGACTGCGTGCCGGACCCTTTCCTGTTTAACTGTTACTCTTACCGTCTTGGTTTACAGATGAGCAATGGAAGCTCAAGAAGGCTGTTCCCTGGGGCCACACAGCTGAGCCAGACTGAACCAGGCCAGCCTTGAAAATTTCAACTGTAATGAGTCTCTTCTTTATGTAATTAAACCAGCAATTAGTCAATCTTATTAATATGTTAATTCTAGTAATAATTATCATACTCGGTCCTGCCCATACCACTCCTACTGTCTTTGCTTAGACACTGAGGAACAGAGAGGGGGTGGGAATTGCCTGAGGCCACACAGGTTAGCAGGGCAAAGCCAGCATTGAAAGCCAGGCCTTTTCCACTGCCTCAGGACTCTGGTATAAACTGCAATTTTAGTAATTTTTGCTATATTTTCAATAGAGCAATAATAATCCCCACTGTTTCTTGAGGACTTACTACCCATCCCGGGTTCTTTGCTTGAAGTGGATCATCTCATTTAGTTGTCAGAACCACACGATACCATGGGGCGCTATTATTATCCCCATTTTACAGATGGGGAAACTGAGGCACAGACAGGAGAGGGGAGAGGCCTGAGGTGACAGGCTGGGAGATGGCAGACAAGGCCTTGGACTCACGTGCTCCCGACTCTAGAGCACTCCAGTTTTGGTTCTCAGCCAGGGCGATGTGCCCCCTAGGGGACGACTGGGCAATGTCTGGAGACATTTTTGGTGTCCCACGTGCTGGGGGGTCCCACTGGCATCTAGTGGGTGGAGGCCAGGATGCCGCTAAACATCCTACAACGCACAGGACAGCCCCCACCCCAGAACCACCCAGCCCCAAACATCAATAGTGGCCAGGCTGAGAGACCCTGTTCTAGGCCCTGTGCTGTGAGGCCCAGACAGGGGAAGGAACTGCTGCAGGGCCACTCAGCAGGTTAGGGGCTGAGTCAGGACCCCATATAGTGGAGTATATGGCAGTAGGGCAGGGCTGGAAACTTGGGACTCAGTTTTATATCAGTGGCTTGTCCTGGCTGGTGGGAGTGGAGGGAGGTGAGCATCCAGTGGGGTGGGATGAGGAGAGAGGCTCTGGGATGAAGTTGAGTAGGTTGGCTGAACACTAGGGAGCCATAGCAGGTTCTTGAGCTGGGACATCTGCACCCTGGGGTTGGTATGATGGGAGGTGGGTGTGCATATTAATAATAACGAACGCCAGCAGCGGCACCTCTGTGTGTGTGTGTGTGTGTGTGTGTGTGTGCAGAGGGCGGGCCAGCTGTGCCCCCGGCCCCGTGCTCACCCCAATCTTGCCCGTCTTGGCGGCCATCATGAGGGGCGAGAGGCCGTCGTTGTTGAGCACGGCCTCCAGGTTGCTGTCGGGGAAGAGGCGGGCACACTTGAGCAGCAGCAGGTCGTACATCTTGGTGACGAACTTGGTGTTCTCGCGGGTGTTGTCGGCGATGGCTACCAGCGCGTGCAGCACGGTGTTGCCCCGCGAGTCCTGCCGCCGCATGTCTGCCTTCTTGTGGGGGTTCTCCGTCAGGTAGTTGACGATGTGCGGCTGGTTGGTGCAGGCGGCCAGTGACAGGGGCAGCTCACCTGCAGGCCGGGGGAAGGGGGCTCAGCGCAGGGCCCGGGGGGCTCTGCCTGCGGACGCCCGGGGGACAGACAGCGCGCCGTTGGACGCAGTGCCAGCGGTCACGTGAACGTGTCCCATGGCGATCACACGTTTCTGTGGTGGTGCCAGGGAGATGGGTGTGGCTCTCGGGGTACAGCCATCGATCTGGAGGCTATGAGGGATCCTGTAAGGACTGTGTCCCTGAACCCCAAATCACAGGCGCCTTTAAGCAGGGGTGAAACTCAAAATCTTTCCCTGGTCCGACTGGGACACGGCAGTGCACCATTGGTCCCGGCAATCTGACCGCTCGTCCCAGTTTAAGTCAGATTAAAGGATGCACTCGACCAGGTGTGGGGCTGACACCCCCTCACAGCCCTAGGGTGCTCACGATCCCCATTGTACAGATTGGGAAGCTGAGGCTCAGGGAAGTGGGGTCATGCTCCGTCCCTCAAGGGCAAGACCTCAGTGACTAAGATCAACGCGTGGCCTGGGTACAGGGCGCCGTCTGGGCCCGTGGCCAGCATGGCCCTGGGCGTTTGGGGAGGGGTCAGGGCTGTGGACATCACCATGCAGCCCCCAGCCCCCAGCTCCTCCTCTGTGTGTCCCCAGCCCCACCAGGCGCCTCCTCACCAAAGTAGAAGTACCCTCCCTCGTCCTTGGGCTGGAAGAAGCGCCCCCGGGCCTGGGCGTGGACGTCAGCTCCTTGGGCCACGAGGAGCTCCACGTAGTGTTTGCAGCGGCGCTCGATGGCGATGTGCAGGGCGGTCTGACCTGCGGAGGGGGTGGGGACAGTCACCCGGGGCTCCGGCAGGGCAGAGACCCAACCAGGCTGGAGGGGGCGGGTGCAGAATGTGGAAACCGAGTGGAGGCTGCAGCGGAGGCCAGAGCCGTGGCCGCGTCCACCCACGGGCAGCAGGTGGACCTGCAGACAGTCCCCAGACGGAGAATCTCGGAAGCCTGAAGTTCTGGGTCTGCTGCATCATGGAAGCAGAATTTTAAGCTCAAAGGATATCCAACTTGTAGCATCCCCAATCTGGGAACTTTTCAGACTCACAAGAGGCTTCAGTCGTGGAGGAAACATCAGCATCACGGTCTCACAGAACTTTGGACTCGGGATATAAGATCCACAGACTGAATCTGCATAGCCAGGAATCTGATCCGTCAAGTCTGGTTCGCAGATCTCAGAATTTAGACCCGCGAGCTGGGACTCGGGACACCTCTGCCTCTCAGAGCTGTTGGCTCACAGCACTATTATCATCAAGCCTTAGAGCATCCAGGACCACACCATCTGAGGTCCAGAATTCCAAGTTCACGGATCATTAGGCTCACTGCCTCCGGGGATCTTGGAACCTCTGATTCTGCAACTCAGAATATCCAAGTTGGAAGGGGTAGTTATCCTCCCTCATTGGTTCATTCGTTCATTCATCAGTTGGTTCCTGGGGACAGCTGGCACTTGGGGCCCAGACTGAAGCCCTCGAGGGCGAGATAGAGGATGGTGCCCCCCGCCCCCGCATCCCCCCCCCCCACCGCCGCCGGCCCAGGCCCACCTCGGTAGTAGATGTCCCGGAAGGGCGAGTTGATGAACTCGCGCATGTTGCCAGTGCGCTCGGCGATGTCCAGCAGGACGGGGATCGTGTCGTTGCGGCCGTTGCTCAGGTTCAGCAGAGCCTTGGGCAGGCAGGTCTTCCCCGTGGACGGCTCTGCGGGCACAGATGTGCAGGATAAGGGGCGCTCGGCCCATGGCCCAAGCTGCTGGGCGGCGGGCGACAGGGCACTGGGCAGGGAGCCAGAGGGCCTGGCTGTGTCCCGCCTCCTCTCTGAGCCCATTCTCTGTCTGCCTCCATGGTACTGAGAGGGTCCCATGAATTCAGACGGGCAGTTCTTTAAAATGTGGGAAGCTGCAGTCTACAGAGAGATTGTTATCTACCAAAGCATATTTGGAGAGAATTTAAAAAATCAAATATGGGTTAACAAAGCCAACCATGTTTACGGCAGGATTTCTCAGAGCCTTTAATAGGCTAACAGAGACTATGAACTTCTAAAAGCCAGACACAGCAGACAGCCTTTGCCCACCTGTTTGAACATAGATCCTTTTCCCATGAAGCAATTAAACTAGTGCCCCTAGAGGGGAGCAGAGGGGGTACAGTGTTCCCCAAAGCATGGACTCCCTGCCACGGTGGACGTGAATTACCTTAGGAGGGGAGGGAGAGGACTTGGGGGTTCCGTGGATGCAGCAATAATAACACTGAAGGCCTGCCGTGAGCAAGGGTTCATCCCGTCATCAAATCTCTCTCATGAAGTCCATCTCCGTTTGGTACTAATGGGTCCCTGACGCTGCCCGCTAACACTTGCTAATGTTCCTTTGCAATTTTCTTTCCCTTGTATTAATGTTTATGGTTCCATGAGTTGATTTATATCTTAAAAGAGAAAGTCAGTGAAAGGAGAACTCCCCTGTGAATTAGGGACAGGGCAAAATCGTGCTGTGGCACCGGGAATGGCCCGATGCAGGTGTGGGACTGAGAGTGAGAGATGCAGGGTAGAATTGGGGGCGGGAGGTGCAGGAGTGGGGTCAGGGGTGGGAGATGCAGGAGTGGGGTGGGGAGTGAGGGATGCAGGAGTTGAGTCGGGGCAGGAGATGCAGCTGTGGGCTGAGGTGCCAGCTCTGGAACCAGGCACCTTGGGGCTCTAATCCTGTCTTTGCCCCCAATTTCTGTGCAATCTTTTCTCTGCTTCAGTTTCCTTTCTAGCTAAATTGAGCCCACAAAGGGAAATCGATGAGCCCATAGATGTTAGTGATGAGCCCCGCGCCAGGCGGACAGGAGCCCGCAAGAGATAACACCGTCACAGTTACAATTCCAAGGGAGCTGCTTTAGGATCCTCTCTCTGGATGCCAGGAATCAGTGGGGAGAACTTGAAAGATTCGGGGAGACCGGAATTCCAGCCCCAGCGCCCCCGGGAGTGAGGTGACTTGGACAAGCCTCGTCCTAGGCTGCCTCCCGCTGCACCCCTGTCGCCCAGCTCAGAGTAGACACCAGGTAACTATTTCTTGAACGAATAACGGACTCCAGTTCCCCATCTGCATAAGGGGGAGGGGAGCTGCCCCAATGCCGGCCAAGGCCCCTGGGGATTCTGTCCACTCTCAGCTCTCCCAGCCTGCATATGTCCTCTTCTCAGAGGATGGTGTCCCCAGCCAGCTAAAAACCTTTGTGTCACCTTTGTGCTTGTCTTCCTTTCTCCCCTACATCCACCCTCCAGCAGGTCCTATGGATTTTACCTATTTCTCCAATCTCTCCACCACTCTCCATCTCTGCTATCACCACCCTGGCCTAGCCACCATCTCTCTTGCATGCCCGAGACACCTGCCTGGTTTTCTCAGCCTCTCTGATTTCCTTCAATCCACTTTCCAACTCGCAGCTGGAGTGGTCACCTCAGAGCACAACCCTGATCATGGTGAGCCACAGGGCCTTTGCACATGCTGTCCCTACACCCCTTCCCTGGTCCTTCCTCCTCTTTTCACCTGGTTAACTGCAATCCATTCAGACCCAGCTCAAGTGTCAACTCCTCCAGGAAGCTCTCCCAGACTTTCCTGACGAGGTCAACTCTTCCGATACAGTCTCTTGTTGACACACATTACAGTTTGCAACTGTGTATTTATTTCTGTGATTGCTTGATCAATGTCGGTCTCACCAGGAGACTGTGAGAAACCTGAGGACAGGGTCACTGCTGCTTCGCTCACCATTGTTTGCCCCACGCTGAGCGCAGCTCCTGACACTTGGTAGGTACCCAATAACCATTTGTTGGGTTAATAAACATTCCGTAAAGGGGTGAGCTGGGCACCACAGGAAATTCCAAACCACAGGTGGTTTGTGTGGGCCGTGGTACTAGACCCTGAATTTGGGGTTCGGCACCCCTAGACCCAGGCTATAGCAGGGTGGGGCTGCTGCCAGCCTGGGTCCTGGGATGAGATGCCAAGAACACAGTCCTCCCAGAAGTGGGGAGGGACACGCAGTTCCAGGACTCGACCACCAGGTGGCGAAGTGGCTCTACCCATGGGGGCTGCTGGAGCTGGGGGCCCTAAGCTAATGTCAAAGGTGGGGTGGGGATCCGGGGGGGGGGGGGGCGATGGTCACAGACTCCCCTGAGAATCAGGTGAGCTCATGAGCCTCTGGCTAGAAAAACATGCAGGGGTGGATCCAGGTTTTGTGGGACCCGAGACTTACACAATTTGGGGGTCCTGTTTATGAAACAACAATTATGAGTTCAAAATTAGGACCAGGGCCTTAGAGGGGCCAGAGCAAGCGAGAGGCCCGGAAGCTTAAAGAATGGGTCTTCCAGTAAATCTCTCTCTACACATGCGCTGTTCTCTACAACTTCAGGGAGCCCCCAAGCCTATCTTAGCCTCCCTCACCCGCGCTCATGCACAGAGACCTACTCTCCTGGGGGTTCTCAGCCTAGGCTAAGAGCCCCCCATTTTTCGGTCCTGACCTCAGGAGAAGATGGAATCCTTGGCAAGTCCAGCCTGGCGCCGCTCTGCTCCGCTAAAGACACAGGCACCAGTCCCCCACTTCACAGGAGTTCGCTCCACTCCAAGGCTCCCCACTTATGAACAGGGGCCAGGCTTAAATGTGGGTTACCTCCAAGCAAGATTATTCTCACCATCACGGAGCCCCTCCGAGGGCAGAGAGGAGCCCCACCCTCCCACAACTCTAAACCTGTACCCCAAACGAGGCCACATCGTCTGGCCATGCACCGTGAGTGGATATTTTTTCTAAATCCAGTAATTCTCTTCTGACACACACAATGGTACTGCATTGTATCGTTCTAGTGTTCAAAGAATCTGGCTGATAAAGGTATAAGGTCTACGTGAAAAATATACCGCAGGCTCGGCCACCCTACTGTGGCATTTAATTTACTCGAAGTACCTGAAGTCAAAAAAAGGCGCCCCTGCCTCCGAGAAGCTTCATCAGCCCTGAGCTGTAGACGCAGTCGGGCTTCCCGAGACAGGCCCTCCTCTGTAGCAGGTGCCACAATTCTTCACATTTTATACTCATTCGTGGGGCCATTTGGCCAGTTAATTATGGCTCAGCTGGACCCTGGCACCCAGCAGGTGGCTGACTTGCATCAAGGAGCTCACAAGCCAACTTGCCCGATTTACAGGGAAGCCTGGGGCAGCACAGAGGGGAGCGTTTTGAGCCTGGACAAGGCTGGAGAGTGAGCTCTCTGGGCTGAGGGCAGTCCCGGGGACAGTGGTGACTGGGACTTCAGCCTAGGGAAGGAAGCTGGAAAGCTGAGTGGGGGTGGGGCAGAGCCCGGGATGCAGAAGCAGGAATGCCCTGCTCCCTGCACCCAGGACCCCATCTGCCTGGTGCTCGGCACAGTGGAATTGTCTCTCCGCAGAGGCCAGGACTATGCTATTATCACTCCCCAGTTTATAGATGAGGAAATTGAAGCTCAGAGAGGCCACACATCCCTTACGTGGTGGAGGTGGGATTTGAACCCATGTGGGTAGACTTTGCTTACCTATGATGCTAACCTTTTCATAAATAAAGGCTGAATGAATGAAGGTAGTGAAGGCTCAGAGAAGTTAAGTAATGTGGTGAAGGACACACAGGATCAGACTCCTTGTGCAGTGCTCCTGCCGGCCAGTGCAGCCCACTGACCCAAGGGAAGATGCTGAGGGGGAAGGGGGCCCCCAATGCCAGCCCTCCCCCCACCCTTGACTGGCCCGCCCGCTACCCCTGCCTGGGTGGCTCACCCCGGAACTCCTCGTCAGTCAGGCGCTTCTTGTGGGTCAGCAAGAAGGGGAGCAGCCCGTCCAGGTCGGCAGTGGAGCCCCGGGACACGATGTCAAAGAGGATGGGCCGGTTGAAGACTTTGAGGATGGGGGGCGGCTGGGGCGCGGGAGCTTTGGGGCTCTGAGGCTGCTTCCTGAAGGGAATCGGGAGGCAGTGTGATGGGAGGGCTTGTCCCCTGGCCACCTCACCATCCCTGGGCCCCTAAGACTCCCTAGGAGCCCTAGGGACGGACCAAACTGAGAGGGAGGGGACAGCTGGAGACACAAAGGAATGTTTTATCCAACAAACTCTACCTAGTACCTATTATGTGTTGGGTAGAGACAGATGGACAGAAAGAAACACACAAGCCCGCCTAACCATCCATCCACCTACCCACCCACCCACCCACCCAACCATCCACCTACCCACCCATCCATCCACCCAGCCAGCCACCCACCCAGCCAGCCAGCAGCCTCTGTGCCAAGCCTGTGGGGACCCAGCAGTGAACAAGATGGAGAAGATTCCCCACC